AATCGTCAAAATGGCCTAGTGGGAAACTACCTCTAGTCAATAATTTAGTTACGTCAATGACTAAAATCAAAAGTTTTGTCATACATCATTAGATACTAGGAATAATCTCGGCTTTGAAGTGAAAAAGCAACACCATCTTTGAATAACTATAGCTTGATATGAAGAACACCTTTTCAATATGAAAAGGTATTTGTCAGAAAGTTTTTCTTTACATTAATTAATCATCAAGTTCATTGTAAAAATAATGAGATGTTTTTCTTCATTATGAATTAAAAAATTTTAATATAAAAATGAATGTCAGACTAGAAAAAAACAATCATAAGAAACTAAGGAACATCAGTGGCGAAAAAGGCAACACAGCTGTTGGAGATCTACATCTCTCATACGGAAAACTGCACATGCTTGGACAATTTGGAAACACCAAGAAACTCGATACGCAACGTTGATTATCATATGGAGACTAATAGTTAAACAATTACAATCGTTCTTTTGCTCCTCATCCAAATCTGACTAGCTTGCCCTGAGATACAATGGTGCGATTGAATTCCAGGGGATATGTGGCTCTGGGATTTATGGAAATACATCATTGTCAAAGGAGACTGCTAAAGCCATTGTTGACATTTTGCCATTTTTGACCAACCACTACTAGTGAATCACTGCGCCTGAGCCAATGAGATGACTCTTTAAAAAGACTGGCCTTTGGGTCATGGATTACAGATGATGATTTGCGGAAAATCACCAATTTATAAAAAAATAAATTTTCACTGTCTTGGCTGTTTTGACCGTTCTGGCCATTTTTGGCTAATAATGTTGGACGGCTAATGGTCAAATGCTAACATTGATTAAAGCATTTTGCTTGTCTGAAGTTATTCGACTTGTTCATCCCGCTTTCACCTGTGGAGAAATTCCACGGAGCTTAAATAAATTTATCAAAATTTAATTTTTTTGCCATTTTCACTAAACTTTAATAAACAACAATCCACATAAAGCTATACCTATATGAAAATTTACAATATTTTACATCTTTCAAGTTTATAAAGTAAAAAAATCATAGCTTTGAAGTAAAAAGTAATGCTGTTTTTGAATAAATATAGCTTGACATAGAAAGCCTCCATCAATATGGGCGAGGGCTCATTAGAAAGCTATAATGTAATGATGTTTGAATTTGTTATAAAAATAATGAGATATTTTAAAAAACCGATTGGTTACACGAATCAGGTTTTATATTTTATATATGTAATTACATTTCCTGTGACATATCGTTTGACTGTTATTCGAGTAAAAATTTATTTGAATAATAATAATAATAATAATAATAAAGTTTAAATGCGATAAATGATTGAGTCATATGATTTTATGATCTCGTGACACCAAAGAGTATCATTGCTATTTTGGGATTGAATATTTGGCAGTGTGACGCAGCATTTGATGTCTTTTTAGATGGCGCACATTATATATTAGGGTGTTCAAAGCAGGGACGATGAATTTCTGCGGTGAAAAAAAGCAAAATCTGCGATGGCATACCAATAATATGCTCATTTCAAGTTTTGCCTATTTTATTGCAATTCTGCTTAATCCTGCTATAGAATCTTAACGAGAATAGCTAAAAACAGTCAATAAAAAAATAATTCTTATTTGAGTTGCTAATAGAAAAAACAATAAATTTATCACTATTGCTCGTGGCCATAGTTGAACTCTGGTCAGCGATATAATCATTATTATTGCTTGATTATGCCCGGTTGGATTGTTTCCTCGTTCGATTATTAAAGTGATTGCGCAACCCACTCCCAGGAAGCACAAGATAGAATTGGTCAATTTTCGGCAATAAAAAATGGTAATTTTCTCAATCAACCTTGTACCCTCGTTTAGTGTTGCATGTCTAGTAGTAATTTCACTATATGATTTTTGGCGAGGGCTCATAAATTTGTGGAAATCAGTTTTGACAACATGTTTTTGGGGCCATCGGTTTCTTTTTAGCCGGTATATATAACGATAAATATTTTTTATTAATAAATACCAATACATTTTGTTAAATCTATTAATGGGACATGGGATTAGGGATTAGGGATGAGGTGGTTCCAAGTGGTTCCAAGTAAATTGCTAATTCTAGAGCTATTTTTTCCTTATAAGATACTAATCAAATTGTTTACAGTAATGATTCAATATGAGTTACTTGTTGTAGATAAGTAACAAAATTTTTTGAGTATCCAGAATCTTCAAAATTTATAGGAATTTTGAAACCTTAATTTGGACCAATCTCAAATAACCAAATTGCTATTTTTGGAGATGATTTCTGGTGAGAAACTATTAATAGAATTTATTAAAGGTATTACTTATTATAGTTAAGCAGTTAGATTTTTCTATAATTAGCAATTTACTTGGAACTGGCTGGAGCTAATCTGGAAACATCCCATCCCTAGATGGGATTGAAGGGGGATGGGTTTTAAGGATTTGAGTATAGGCAACAAGCAATCTTGGTTACAATCCCCATGTTACAGATTTATATTATCTAAAAATCAACTTCAGTCAATACCTGGTTTTTGCTAAAAATCCCCCATATAAAAGCCTGGAAATAAATAAACAATCACAAGGTTTTATAATCCAATCTGTTGACAATCTAGGGAGGATATTAAATAATTACCTCATTAAAAAATTCACCAGAATGCAAGCTGGACATTCTTTAATTCTTTTGTTTGATTGACTTTTCATTTTATTTACTATATTAAATTAGGAGTGTGTGAATATCATTTTATAGGTATAAATGTATTCCAAATTGGTTTGGTGATTTTGATGGTAGAAAGTAGAAATTAATTACAGCACTAACAAACATAAGTGTAATACCCCTTTACAACATGTGTAGCCCCTTTTATGACAGTGTCAAAATACTTTGGCTAAATTCCAAGAATAAAACAATTGAAAACACGTGATTTTAGTGAAAAATCATTGTTTTCAGTGATTGGAGACTTTTCAAAAACATTTGAGAATTTTATGAGTAAGAAACTCATGTAACATTTTTACTATTGGGAATAATTAATTTAATATCATATGTTATTATTTATTTTTTCAATTTGTTAGTTATTGCGACAGCAGCCTTAGATCCATTTGGTCTATTCAAGTATTCAGAAATGTAATTACCAACATCAACTAATTTGTTTAAATCAACACCAGTTATATATCCCATTCCTCCAAGCATGTACACTACATCTTCAGTAGCAACATTACCTGTTGCTCCTTTAGCAAAAGGACAACCGCCTTTATGTGGAATGAAATTAATAAAAAGAAGAAACTAGTTTAATTGAAATTTTTTTAAAAAAAAATAATAATGATTTTACCTAATCCTGCAGCAGAACTATCAATGATCCTTACACCATTCTAATTTTGTTTATAAAACTCAAAAATTGTTTTTGAGTGATTTTTTTAAAAATAAAAAACTTTTAAAACTTTAAAACCAAACAAACCTCTATAGCACAACATATATTAGCAAGGGCTTGACCATAAGTATCATGACAATGTACTGCAATTTTTCCAATTGGTACATGATGTTTTACACTTTCCAACAGTTTTAACATTGAACCTTTTTTAAACATTAAATGAATAAGGTGAATAAATAGATCTTTTGAAATCAGCATAATAGATATATGATGTAAGTTAATTTACCAGGAGTTCCAACACCTATTGTATCTGCTAATGATATTTCGTAACACCCCATTTTATAAAATTTTTCAGCAATCTTTGCTACAGTCAAAGGTAACACTTCACCTTCATAAGGACATCCTAAAGCACAAGAAATATAACTAACACATACGTATATAGATATATATAATTGATTAATTTTATGAATTTAAACACAAGAATCATTGGTAAATAGTT